AAAAAAAAAAAAAGTAGAAATGCATGGGGGCAGGTTTCCGTGGTCTCCTCGCCTTGGACTTAGGCTCCCTTTGACAGAGGCAGGTCCTGCCCAGCCTGCACCCTGCCACCCTGCCCGGAGATGGATTCCAGCAGCTGTTTTCTCCTGAGCCCTTGGGTGGCTCCCTCCCCAAATCTGGTCTCCCCTCCCAAGGCCTTTCCCTGTAACCAAGAGGTGGGCCCTGCCCAGAGACACTGGCTGCACCCCTGGGTCCTGGCTCTACCTGTAAGCGGTCCCCAGGTACAGCAGGCATCACAGAGAGCTGCCTGGAAGGCCCCTGCCCAGCCCTGCTTCCAGAGCCCATGCCAAGTCCCTCGGACTTAGGAAGGCTGCCAGGGCCCCCTGATGTCCTGAAAGGTGGTACTGGCTTTGGTGGGATGCGGAAGGCTTCCCTGGTGGGAGGCTGGGCCTCACTGAAGTAGACAGAGTTGTTTGAAGAAATAGGAGCTTTCTCAGAGGACAGCTCCTGGGGGTTTGGTGATGGTGACGCTGCAGGGAGTCCCTCTTGGGAGAGCTGCCTGCCCACCCCCTGCCACGCCAGTCCTCTGGCCCTGACCAGCCTGGGCCAGCAGTTTTCTGCCCCCTGCCCCTGACCTCACTCTGAAATCATTGCTTCTCCCTCTCCCCGCCCTTTCATAACTGTGTCTTCTTCCTGGACTTCAAAAGTCACTTGCCAGTATCTGCTGACATTTTCTATGAAATCCTTTATAAGTAGCTCTACCCAAATGGCTTGGGTTGGATACAGTCTAAGACAATTCATTCAAAACCCCATAGACGTGAAGACCCGGCCACATGCCCCTTCCTGGGCATGGCGGGCCATGCCCTCTGACTCGCACAGTTTTCACTTGTGACCCAGACCTCCCCTGCCGTGAAGACGGAGGCTGAAATCAGCCCAGCTGAGGAGGTGCAGAGGGCTCTGGAGGGAGCTCCACGCCTGGGGAGGAGCAGCCTGCCAGCTCTCCCCGCTTTGTGTGCCCCTCGGGGGAACCTGGCCCCGGAGCCCTCAGTGCACCACAGGGAAGCCGCTGTGACTCTTGGAAACCGGAGCTGGCAGAGGCTGGGAGCATGTCCAGGTGGCCTGGGAGGACACACGGGGCCCTGGGACCCCCGTCTGGTGCAACCTCTGCTGAGACAGCCCCACTGGGTGATGACTCTTTGGAACCACCCGTCCCTCCTAAAACAGTAAGACCCCCAGCTGGGTATCTTTCTGCCCTGAGGGATGTACCACCAGGCAGCTCCCTGAGTGCCCCTCCCCAGCAGCCATAGGCACAAAGTCAAGCTCTGATGCCCAGCAGCAGAGATGAGAGAACAGAACGGGAGCTCTCCCGGCCCCAGGGCCCCTCTCGAAGGGGAAGGAGGAGGCCAGCGAGGAAAGGAATCTTCCCCAAGCCCCCCACTCCCAGATGTCTCTTCTCCACACCCTGGGCAGTGTGTTTGGTGCTTGCCCGGGGGACACACAGCCCTGGGCCCAGCCCCTGCCCCTGGAACAAAGAGCAGCACTTACCATGATGGAAATGATGAGGGGGATGAGGTTGAGGGGCCAGACGGGGCAGAAGCAGGAGACGATGGCCAGGATGAGGTAATCTCTGGGGGCTTCTTGGTCTTGGGCATAGGAGGTGGTGGCGATGGAGGACGCCCTCCTTGAGCTGGCCCGCGAGGGGGACCGAGGCAGTGGGGCCTCCAGGTGCCCCTCGGAGATGGCCTTGAAGGGCAGGCCGTGGCCATTCTGCTCCAGATCCAGAGGCCCTGCGAGGGTCTTGGACAGATTGAGGGGCTTGTCTTCCTTGTCCTGTGCCTTGGTGAGGAGTTTCTCCATCTCCGGCAGGTCCAGGGCTGCGGTGGAGCCTGGCTCCTGTGCTGAAGGAAGCTCGGGCTGCACAGGATTGGCCATGTGGGCCTGGGCCTTGCACGGCTGCAGCTCCAGGCTGGGACAAGGGACTCTGGAGGGACCTCAGTGCACCATTGCCCAGCCCTGACTGAGGGCCTCCAGGTCGGGGGCAGAGGCGTCCCTCAGGCGACGGAGGGCGGGCTGGGTGCTGGAAGGGTTGGGCTGGGCTTCTCAAAGCCAGCTGAGTTCAGAGGCTGCGGCCTGCCTGCTGCCCCGAGGCGCTCCCAGAAAGATGCTGGAGCCTGCAGCTTCGTTCAAGTTTGAGGCCAACTTTGCTGGTGCTGCTGGGAGCACAGATGGGCAGGGAAGCAACAGAAATCTCAGAGAGCGGAGAGGGGAATGTGCCTCTTCTCAGGGAGGCTGTGTGTGTGTGTGTATGTGCGCGCACCACATGGCCTCCCTCCCTCTCCCCCTCCTTGGTGATGCTTTTCCTTTTCAATTCCCCTCTCCCCAGAGAACCACCCTGGCAGCATTTTGCCCCAGCCCAGCCCAGCCCAGCCCAGCTCTGCCCAGCCCAGCCCAGCCCAGAGGGACCTGAGCCAGCCTCCGGTTTCTGTTGCAGCTTCAGGGCCATGCTCTTCAGGGCGGGACTCTGGATGGGGAGAAAGACACACCGGGCCCCACGGGGTGTGTCTTCAGCTGTCCTAGGAACTGAGCCCTCTGCTGCTGCTTCCAAAGCAAGCCTGTACTTCTTCCTCTCTGCTGGGAAATGCTAGACCCTAGACCCGCTCTTGCATCCCACCCAGCCCCTGACCCCCAACCGCTAGGAGCATCCAGGCCAAAGCCTGGCTCCCGACTCCAGAAGTGAAGGGGAGGTGTGAGCACCAGGGCAGCCCCCGGATCCTGCCTGGACCAGCAGGGCCCCATGAAAGGGTTTCTATGTAGCTCACCACCAGGTGGGGAAGAAGATAAGGGGGAGTGTTGGGTCCGCCTCATGCCCATCAGAGCAACTCTGTGGTGTTAAGAGCCGCTAGGTCCGAGCCGTTCTGGGAAGATGCCAGCTCAGAAGGGCCTCAGGCTGTTTGTCCTCTTGGATTCTCCTCTGCGTCTTTGTTCTCTCTGAGGTTTTCTCCCTCTGTCTCTGCCTTCTTCTCTATCCTCGGCATCTCTTTCTCTCTATATCCCTGACGCCTCTCCTTACATGGTTTTACAAGTGTGACCTGGAGCCACCAGGGATGTGTGTGTGTGGTTTGAAAGTGGCTGCAGGAAATAGTTTAAAATCCTACAATCAGGCGGGGTGCCATGGCTCATGCCTATAAGCCCAGCATTTTGGGAGGCCGAGGCAGGAGGATTGCTTTAGCCCAGGAGTTTGAGACCAGCCTGGGCAACATGGAAAAAACCCATCTCTACAAAAAATACAAAAATTAGGTGGGCGTGGTGGTGCACACCTGTAATCCCGGCCACTTGGGAGGCTGAGGTAGGAGAATGGCTTGAGCCTGGGAGGTCAAGGCTGC